ACTTAACAACACACTACAACATCACATGGTGCCCAAGCCTGTTTTTACAGCTAACAATCTCAGTTTGGGGAAGGAGAGCCCTTCATGTCAGTGGTGCAGGGCTCCTTGCAGAGCAGAGATAGATGAGGTGCCCTGGTTCCCAGGGGCTGCAGGGCATTTCCAGCAGCGCCAGAGCCGGGGCTGGGAGGTGCAACAGGAGCTCAATTCCCGGCTTTCCTGGCCTGGGGGATGAGTTCACTCCCTGTGCTCCCAGCTGGGCATGGGAAGGTGCTGCTGCCGTGTCCCAGCCCTGCAGCAGGCGCGTTCGTGTCGCTGCTTGCCTTCACTGACTGCTTTTCCCGTTGCCATCTCTCTGCTTCTTCATTGTTCTTACCCCAACCAAACCAGTTTTATTTTCATTTTCTCCCCAGATTTCTCTGCTGAAAGATATCCCTTCTGCTGCCTTGCTGGGAAGCAGAAACTGGGTTTGTGTAGAGCTCTGGAGCAGCTGCAGAGGAGGAAGATGGTGATGGCGGCCAGCTCCAAACCCCACTTCTGGCTCCCCCTCCCCTGAACTCCGACTCATTCCACCAGCACGTTTTCATTGTGCTTCAAGCAGATGAATAAAATACATCAAGACAAATCAATAGTGCCCAGAAGCTCAAATGCATTTTCTTGAGCTCACCCACTTCCCAGCACAGCCCTTTCCAGAAGGATGAGCTTGCTGCTGGCACAGCTCACAGGTACCCACTTGCTGCCTGGCTGCCTGCCAGCCACACCACTGGGGCTAGACAATGCTGCTCTCATGGACTGGCTCCACATCCACGGGGGTATTTATGGATATATATGGAGATTTTTTTTTCTGGGAGATATATATATATATATATATCCCAGAAAAAGTTGGATGTGCAACAGCTGGGTTTTATAAGGGCGAGTTTGGAAATGGAGTGTGCTGGTGGGGAGGCACAAAGCACAGCAGTGACCTCAACCTGAGCAATAATTAAATGTTTTCAGATGGGAAATGTCACGTTTGTCACCAAAATGATCCAATATTGATCATGTCCCTCTCTGTCCACACAGCCCAGAGTTTGTGTAGCTGGCTGAGGCATTTCTCAGGTCATGCCCAGCACGGTCCAGGTTCCCTGTCCCATTCAGGGGGACACATGTGACACAGAGCACGTAGCATTCCTAAAATCTTTAACGCCTGGACAAATTCCAAAGCTCACTCTGCTACTGCTGTTTTCCTCATGTGTGCTTTTGGAAATGACAATTCCTCACTCTGGGTTAAAAAGCAGCATTTTGAGGTGGGGTTTACCATATTCCCCCTTCCTCTCTCATAAGGAGATTGGGAATTAAGGTTGTGTTTCCAGGACGGGTGTTGTTCATAATGGCCCAGAGGGTTCAGAAATCCAGGCAGGATGGCAAACAAGCTCCAGATCTGGAGGAAAGTGGAAATTTTTGTCATGAAGGATGAGCTGAGTGCCCCAGTCCAGCTGTGCTGGTTGAATGGAGTCAGCAGGACCACATGGCTGCTGTGGGAAGGGAAAAAATAAAGTGTCAGAGTTCTCAGAGAAATGTGATGTTCTGGCTGGTCTCTGTCACCCTGGGTGGCCTTTAAATGGCACAGTCCACACTAAGAGGAGAACTGTCACAGTGCACTTGAACATGGTTTCTAACCTGCTGAGAACATCCAGATTGCAACACAGAATCTGGTGGAAATAGCTGAAGTTCCCACTCCAGTCCACGAAAGCCATGGAGGTCAGGAGCAGTGCAGGAATTTTCTCCCATCTCTCTGTTTCCCTCATTTCCTCCTATATTTCAGGCAGCTGTTTTAAAAGGCTGTGACATTTCCTTTAACTTAGCTGAGTTCAAGAGGTGAAGAAGGGAGAAGTCCACAGTCTAAGAAGGAACTCAACAAACCCCGTTCCTCTGATAATTTTCAGATAAAACTGCCATGAGTTTTCCTTTAATGGGGCTGCACACAACTGCAGAAGCTTGGCACATTTACATCCAAAATTAATTAGGCTTCATTAGCAATAATACTGTGGAAATTTTCATTTTCAGAATCCCCTGGATCCATTTCAAACCAGGATGCAGGAGATGGGGATGTTCTGCACAGGGAGGAGATTTTGCCCAACCACGTGATGTTGTTATCACTCTGGGAATGTGAGCACACAGAACACACCAAACCAGGCACATCCTCGTGGAGCTTCTCAGTTGTCTCTGTGATTTGTGTCCATCTCATCCTGTGGAGAGCCTAGCTCAAGCATGGCTTAAAGAAAGAGGCCATGAAGGTATTCAGCTAAGGGAAAAAGCAGCCTTTCCCAGGCTTAATCATGTAAATAATTAGATTCTCAGCCACCTTTTATATAAACAACAAGATTCTCAGACCATTTCCTCAAAAACAGGCAATATTCTGTCCTTGGCTGCTCTGGGAACAGATATGAAGGTTTTGAGAACTTTTCATATCATGGTGAGAACACTGATCTTGGTTTCAATAAACAAACTTCAGGTATTGCAAACAAAAGGAGGAGCTGATGTTTTCTCTACAGCCTGTCAGGAGCTCAGATTTTGCAATATGCATGAAGTGAATTAACACGGTTATAAAAAGTGCCTGGTTGATCAATAAATCAGAGTCAGATGCTGAACCAACAAAGGTGGGTCGCTCCCTTCACTTCAACATCATCCAACACAGCCTGTGCTTCTGTGGGAGAGGGGTTAACTCATCCACTTCCCTCTGGAAGATGCTGCTCCAACACTGACACCTTTTTGTGTGTTATCATCAAGTCATGCTGTATTTAGAATAAGCTGGAGGTGAGACTCCTATCATGGAAAACAACTCTCCTTGCTCCAATTAAACCACTGATTCTCACTGACCCCACTTGTTCCTCTACCAGCCTTTTCTCCAGGGCTCTTTGCCACCACCAGACCCAACCAGCCTGTGCTGGTGCTGCCCTTGTGTGTGCATGGCCTTGGACTTCCCAGCACCCTCAGCCCAGGCTGCTCCAGGCAGCAGGGATGAGACCCATGGAGGGGGTCCACAGCTCCACTGTCCATCCACCAACACCTCCAGCAGGAATCATTTGCTCTCTGCCAGTCTTATTTTTAGGCAGGAGGAATCTGAGGCTTGTGCAAATGTTTAAACACACGTCTCTGCTGAATTATTCAGTGTGCTCTGCCTGCTCCTGGAGTTCATTCAAAGGGAGGGCAGTCCACAGAGCTCTGGCATTCACCGTGGAGAGCAGGAGGCAGAGGCAGCACCAACAATTCCCTGCCCTCTCCAGCCCTCCTGCCCCAGCTCTGGGCTCCCCTAGCACTGCTCAGCACCTAATCTGAGCAAATCTGCCTTAATTTCAGGTGGCCCTGTGTGGCACAGAGCTGGGGACTGCTGTGCCCTGAGCTGTGGGTGAGGCTGCGGTGCCTGACTTAAGGAGGTCCAAAGAAAAACCTGAGCAGCTTTAAATTTTCCTCCATTTTCTGCTCTGGTTGAAAGAGGTTTTTTCCAGGGGCAGATGCACATCCCTGTGCACCACAAACCCCACAGTGCAGCTCTCAGCCTCTTGAAGTCAAAGGAGAACTTGAGATTTGAATTCTAATTTCACCTATCAACTGAAGCACAGCTGGGAGCCAAACCCTTTGGAGCAGAGGGGTCTTTCCTCTGGTTCCACCCCTCCCAGAAAAATTAGAACATTTGCCCAACATCAATAAAAGACCTTGTATAAGAGTATATTAATCCACATGTAGGTCTGTGCACCTCTCCTGCTCCTGTGAAATGCTATGAAGAGCAAATGATGTACCAAACTCTGCAATCTTGGCTTGCTCATCTGCCCAAATGCAGCAATTACAGCAGTAACTGACACTGCACCACACTGGAACACTCAGCTCCTGCTGAGTACTTTTGTCCCTGAGCAGCCATCACATAAAGTCACAGTTTTCCTTAGTGAATCAAGCTAATGACAAAATGCAGGGTTTCCATATAATCCAACGACTCAGCAAGCAGCTGTTTCCAAAATGTGAGATACAGGCAGAAATATCTCATGGAGAAAGGAGAAGGGGTCGTGTCACCCTCTGCTCACACACTGCTTTTCCCAGTTCCAGGGGAAAGCAGGACAGTACAGACTCCTGCAGTTCCTTCCACATTGTGCAGCAGCTCCAGGCTCACACTGAGGATTTCCTTAATCAGATATAAACTCAAGTTGCTTTCTGGTACATCTAATATTTGCATGGGGACATTGTAAGTAGGCGGCTTGGTTTGCAAAGATGTTTAATCACGGAGGTCTGGGTTAGAGTTCAAGTTCAAGTGTCTGCACTAAGCTGGAGAAGGTCTAAATAAGCAGCAATTGAAACAGTCTGACTCATGCAGGGCACTGCTGGACTTTGAAATGGCTGAGTGCTTAAAGCTCTGTTGGGAAGAACTCTTATTTTAGTCCAATAGCAACAGAAGGTACATTTGGGGGGGGAAAGGCATTTTGGGGGAAGGCAACATCTTCATCTGGTTTCAAGGGCTGCAGACAGGGGATGCCTTTAATCCTGCTGCTGTCAGAAGGGCCAGGCTGCTCCAAGCAGCAGCTGCCACCCTTAAAAGGCTGAGCTGGGGCTGGGAGCCAGGAGCAGAGCAGCCATTCCAGCCTGCAGCCTCACAGCCCTGAGGAGACATCCCAGGAGCAGAAATGCTCCTCTCCCCACGTGGAACGTGGGTGGGAAGGCAGCGGAGTCCAGACAGGAAAAGGGACTTTCCTGATGCAAGAGCCTGAGAACTGCTGGGTGAGAACAGACCCATCTGGAATGGCAGCTGAGACACAGCAGCAGGAACTGCCCTGCCTTGGCATCAGTCCCAGCAATCACAGACAGAGAGGGGATGGGCCTTGTTTCTGTACCCCTGCATTCGGGTTGTTTGTGTCTTGCATCAACACGTTGGTAGGAGGAAGTGCTCCAGCAGCAAAAGAGACTCTGAGAGTTGCATTGTTCGTGTGCAGCAATGCTTGGACAGCAAACCCACCAGCCTGTCCCATTCCCATATCGGTAGGAAGCTACAGGAAAAAGAGATGGATTCTCTGCCCAGTGTGCCAGAGAGGGAGATAAATTCCAGTGAATGTGACTGGAGAGGGGCTGCTCTGAAGCACAGGCTCAGTTCCTGTGCCATGGCAGAGCTGAGGCTGTGCCTGTTGTGACAGGAAATGAGAGGCACCAGTCACTGGGGCAGGCTGTGCAGCCCCACACGAGTGTCCCACACACAGCTCTGCTGCACATCCCTAAAAACAGCACGGGTTGGTCATTAACCTCAAACCTGAGGCATGGCCAGGCAGGTGAGCAAGTGTACTCCTTGGATCTGATCCAAAACAAACCTTGGATCTGCCTCTGAGCACTCACCTTGCTTTCTGTGGGCAGGAAAGAACTTGATGGTTTCTATAGGGAGTCACCAGGTTGTTCCTATCAGGGAGCACCTGGAGCTGTGCCTGGGGCAGCACCACGAGCACCTGGCTGGATGCACTGCCTTTCTGCCAGGAAAGGGATTGCACATTCCCTGAGCACCTGAAATGGGTAAAGAGAGAGCCCTGGGCAGCTTTCAAATGCTCCCATGGCCAGGATCCCCCAGCTCCTCCCTCTCCTGCCCATCCTGGAATGCAGGTGGCACAGGGAGGAGCAGCACAGCAGTGCTGTGGGACAGCCAGCACAGAGATGAGCACTGCTCCTTTCTGGGATAAGCACATTCCTGCCTGGAAGAGGTGCCTGTAACCTTTGCAAAGTGGGAGCTGAGGGTTGACTCTGCTCAGATTTTAATCCAGAATTTAAACTCTTGGTAGCAGGATGTGTTTTTTTATTGTTTGCAGTTTCTGGTGAGACAGAGCCCTCCTCCAGACGCAGCCTCGAGCCTCTGTCCCAGCACCAGGAAGAATTTCCCCTTTAAGTGACACAGGCTGGCAAAACGTTCCATCAGTGGCTGCACAGCCCTGACCCCACCAGGCTGGCCCCAAAAACTTCCAGTGAGCAGCAGGGGAATGAAAAAGCATCTTTTTACCATCTTGGGGCTAATCCCTGTCCTGTCCCCCGAGCAGCAGGGAAGCACAGGGCAAAGCCCTGCTGGACAAGAATTATCCAGCCCAGAAAGTAGAATTTCTAAACACCATTGGGTCAATGACCACGCTGAATGTCAGGATGGAGGGCAAACAGTGACCTCTGCAAAGTGCTGCATCAGCCTCGGCAGCCTGAATGCCACCAGCTCCTCGGGGAAGGGCAGGAATCTGGGAAACGGGCACTGCACCGACATTCCTGCAGCTTTCCGGTTACTTTATGCAAAAATCTCGGGATTTCACAGTCCCATCACAAACCGGCCCGCGGGGCCCCTCTGCTGTCGGGTCCCAGCACTGCAGGGTTAACTCACACGGCACAAAGATCAGCACAGGCCCCCTGAAAATCACCTCATTTCCAGGGATTTTGATGACATCGCGGTAAAAAACGACCCAGGAAATTCAGTCTCCCACTCACAGAGCAGAGAAGCCCCGAGGAAACCCTGCAAGGGGCTGTCCCTGATCCACCAGTAACTCACTGCTGGGAAGAACCCATTTCCCACCTCTAATTCCCACATAGAGACCTCTGAGTTACAGTAACCAGCCAAGACTGTGGAATCTTAACAAAAAAAATTAAAAAGTATCTTAAAAGGGCTTCATTTTCTCTATTGCTACAGAATAATTTGTTCTGTTACCAAGTAACCCCCTCCAAGGGGCCTCTGTGTTATTTAATATCCACCAGGCAGCACAGGACCCTGCTTTGGGAACCATTCCTGACCACTTCCAAAGCACAGCACTTCAGGAAGCCCTCCCCAGAGGAAACAGCCAATACCGAGGCAGAGTGTGTAATATTTTATTGAACAAACGTGACCTTTATGCCAAGGGTTCCAGGTGACATGAGCACACTCCAGTGGAGCAGGACGAGGTGGCTGTGGTGGCCCCAGGGTGCCGTGAAGCTCAGATGGCTGCCATCCTTCAGTTATCACAGTACTGTACCTTTACAAGAGACAGCATCAGCACTGTGATAACTGAGCCAGGGCAGCCTGGCAGTCATTGGCCCCTCCGTGGCACCGCCGAGTCCTCGGTGTCCTCCTCCCTCAGTGTCCCAAAAACCCCACGTCACCCCTCAGGTGAAAGCCTCAGGAGCCTTAACACAAGTGGCTTTGCAGCTGAGGTTCACTCCAGGAAATCATCCACATAATTAGTGTTAAATCTTAATGACCACGGCGGCTTCCGAGCGGTTTTAAGCAGCAGCTCCTTGTGGGCAAATCCACCCACGCTGGCTTTAATGGAGAGAGAGAGCACCCAGCCCTGCTCCAGGGGACAGCCCTTCCTCCCCCTCAAATCCAGGCAGGCAGCAGCTCTTGGCTCGTGCTGCCAGGGCTGGGTGTCAGGAGCAGTGGGGACAGTGGCAGGCAGCCAGGAGAGTGGCACCACGGCCCCGACGGCGG